GTGGCGTGTATTTGTGGCAAATATTTCCCTTAAGTTGTACTTTTATGTCTTCGGTGTTGCTACTTTTGATAAAATAGTTTCTAAGCATGCTGGCGAGACCTTCGTAACACCTTGTTTTGCTGGACGTTAACCTTGAGTGTCAAAACACCTCCGTATCTTTGGGAGTTTTCACAGGATTGTCACCTCTTCAAATGTCTCCGTAAGCCACAGTTATGCTGGCATTGCTCTCTGTTCAGTAATGTGCCTCCCTGATGACTCCAGCTGTCAGTGTGTAGTTCTAACAGTATTGGTCCAGCCAAGCACAGAATGGCTGCATCAGGGATCCCTGCTCCGGATCAGATTTCGGCCTGAATTCTCATCATTTAGCCCTTGGACCGCCTCATCGGACTCTTGAGCACTTTGCTTAGTTACCACGTAAGTTGTCTCGCTTTGGTACTAGTCGCTGGCCTTTACCACCTTTAAAGACTGGACCGTGATTCTGACTGTACCTCAGATGTTCTCCGTTTCTATCTTCAGCTCAACACCCTGGCAATCCAGGTCTTGGGAGCATACCCCGACACAGATGTGACCTCCAAATGAGACACCGTATTTCCTAAATCTTCCTGCCTGGCGTAAAAAAGAGCAAATAGAACTAATTTGTGTACATCAAAAGCTCTGCAGAGAATTTTTCCCACGTATTTGTTAAGGATGTTAGGCCTGGTGCCTCTTTGGTGAAGGTGGTCCAAGATCAGTTCCTCAGAAATACCCTAGCTGTAGACAGTTTTCTTATGTGGCCCAAGGTGATTTCTGCATATACACGGCGCTGATTCCTCTGATGACCACTTGCTCTTGGGTATGAGACCGCGCTAGCTCTAGGTGAGCCTCACAAGTTAAGATACCAGGCACTAACACTTAAAGAACAGCCGTCGATTCTCAGAGCAAGTGCCACCTCCACCGACAGAAAAGTCATATTTGTGCTTGAGAAAATCACCAGTGTGCCTCCTAGGGAGAAGCGTGGACACTTAACAAAATTCGGATCTGTGAGGTGTGATACCTCATTGCACCCCATATCCTGCTGTCACCTAATGGCAAAATTCCACACAAGTCTGTTGTCTCCGTTTCTCAGTAGCACGGAGCCATCGTGGTGGGGGATCGACATCACACAACAGCCAGCCATTTAGATCATGATATTTGTGGACAGTATCTGTGACAGAACAGAAGTACCAAGAGCTATTGGAGAATTTTTTTTCAGGAGTAAACAAAAAACTGGCCCTCCCAAGGAAAATATTCCATTGAACAGAAAGGCGGAACAGAGATGCCAACAAAAAAGGACCGAGGTCTTTCTCCGGAATGTTCTGTGGAGCCAAGGACAAAGAACACCATCCTGGGCTTGAGGTTTCATTCTCTGGAGGAAGAAAAGCTCAAAGTCCATCGTGCTCTTCCAAGATGGTCATTTGTCGTTCTTACTCTAGGCTCTCAAACGCCTAGTGCTCTGTGCACCTCTTTAGTCCCCAGGAAGAGAAGCACTTCTACCAGAAGCGCATCACTTGCCACCTGAGCCATGGCTTTTCCCTTCACCCACCCTTCCCTTCCCTGTCATGTGTTTCCAAATGATATGACGATATTTCTCTCAAGGCAAAGAGCACTTGGCTTTTTTTCCCAGCTGAATAGATGAGAAATTTATAACAGTTTTAGTAGTGTTTGTCATCTGCCTTCAGTTTGTGGACTCCAGTGCTGAAATTTCTCTAACTGGTTCAGTTTAAAGGTTCGGTTTCATTTTAGCCTCTAGTGACCTGGTACCTAAGGGTACACTGCATTTGGTCTAAGTAAAACACCTCTGGTGCCATGGGATGAGATTGAGCCTTATTGGGCTCCAGAAACTTGATTTTAACCCACTTGTTATCTAAGGTCACGCATCTTGTTCAGGGGCTTCGTCCTTGCGGCACTCTGAATCCTGCACGCTGTACCTCCCTTTTGTTAGCTGGTTCTTGTTTTGAGAAAGATGTTGGGGCCAGCAGCAGAAGCCCTTTTGTTCTGGGGAATTCTTGATTTGGGTCCTACAGTGACCCTAAAAGGTTTTTTGTTTTTGTCTCCAGAAGAACAGCTTCTGCCATACTGCTCATCTTTTGGAGAAAGGAGAAAAGCTTTGCCTTTTCATTTTAGAGAATTGTTATCTTCTCTGTTCCTACTTCCACCATTCTTTTGGTTCTTTCCACCTTGTGAATATCATCTTTTCTACATTTTACCCAGAAGGCAATTGAGGGGGAATTAGTAGTTTTGTTGCACGTGGACTTTAGATTCATTGAGGGAAAGGGAGTGCTTGCCTTCTCACACTGGAAGCGTGAGCCGAGACTTTGGGAATCTTGGGTTATGGTCAACCTCCAGGGATGGACTCTGACAGGTAAGTAAGGCACTTCAGTGGATTCAAAAGAAGGAGAGTGATACGGCCTTTATAGTTATCCTAAGGCTGTGATAATGTGCTGTGACTCGGTGTTCTTATCCATATCCCCACCCCTCATTTCTAGGCTGTGTGTGTGGTCTGTGGTCTGTCAGGTTCATGATCTCTCTCATCCCTGATTGCCAAGAACACTTGAAATCTGATTCTACCTCTAATGACTGCTTCCAACTGCTCCCCAAGGCAGGTTTGTCTACTGATCATTAATCCAAAAATACTTAATGGTTGTCCCTTCCCATAGAATCTTGAGTGTTTGCCCACATTATATACTCTAGCAGATGTTATACATGTGAGGAAGATTATATGACCTAATAAGAAAAACCAGAGTAAGAATCTTGGTCAGTCTGCACTTTAATAGAAAAACTGCTTAGTACCTCATTTAAATTCCCTGGTCTCCCATATGTTTGCTCCCACAAATCAGGAGTACTTGTGAGCCTTAAAATGTATGACAAGGACTTTTCATAGATGCAAAATTGGCATTTAAATTGGTTTTGCTGTGCCCTTGTGGATGAAGTGGAACTGAGGCTCTCTACCAAGCTGATGGCAAGGCATCATGATGGCTGCCTAGTAATGTGTAATCATGATAGATGATGGAAGTATAAACGAAACAGGATGCCTGCTCATGAGAGGCTTATAGTTCAGTTGGAAAATTCAATTCATTAAACACTGAGCTCCGTGCTGTCGTCCTAGGGATCCAAAGACATCAAAAGAGCTTAGTCTTTAATAGCAAAGCCATGTAAACATAATTACAGAACGGTGTGATAAGTGCAGCGACAGAAATATGTACAGGAGCAAGGTTCATTGCACATAGTCATGGAGCATTCGCTGCATATGCCAGACATTATAAACCTACATAGTGGGTTTATAGTGGAGAGTCACACTGACAGTCCTTGTCCTCATGGACTCACAGTCTGACAGCAGACATTAAACAAGTAAATAGATGTGTCAAATTGTGATAAGTGACAAAAACAGTGCTATGAGAAAACGTGGCCAGGATTTAAGGGCAGAAAGTAAACTTTTAGACTGTTAGAATCAGGGATAAGAAACATTCATTGTGCTGAGACATAGAGAATGAGTGCAGATCTGTTTTTGCCGCTCAAGTAGAGGCATCAGGAAAAGCCTTGGCTAGTTCTAGCTGAAAGGCCAATGTGGCAAGATAATGGTGAACTTGGGAGGGGAGGGGACAAGATTGGAGAAAACAGCCAAGACCATGCAGCACCTGCCCAGCCTTAGTAGAGATTTTGGATTGAATTTTGAACACTGTGGGAAACCAGTAAAAGGTTTTATGTATTTGAAAGATCACCCTAGAATAATCTGGAAAAAAGATTAGAAAAAGAGGCAAGAGCAGAAATGGGGAAATCTTTCCCCGCTTTAGAAGTCTCTTGCTTTGTTAGGGAAAGATCATTATGAGTTGGCCTTTAGTGGTATTAATGAAGGTAAAGAAATGGGCAGAATTGATAATCAATTTCAGAAAAAGAATGGACAGAATTTGAAAATATGATTGGAAAGCAGTTGGGACTTTGGAAGAGATGACATTCAGTTTCCTAGCTTGAGCAACAGTGTAGGTAGATGTGGCATTTATCGAGATGGAAAGGACTGGAGGAGGAACATATTTGTTGGGGAAGTTCAAGAGTTTAGGGCAGATTTTATGGAGGAGGTAATCCTTAAAGTAGGTCAAACAAGAAGACATTGTTGTAAAAACGTAACTATATCAAGATGAGTAATAGAAATAGTAAGTGTTCTAAGCATTGAGCAGCCAGAAAGATCAGCAGTTACTAGGGAGATTAGAGAAGATTTCTTGGACGATTTGAGACATGAATTTGCCTGTGAGGATTGGATGATACTTGCATTAAGTGCAAGAAAAATATTCCAAGTTGAAAAATCATATGAACAGAAATCCTGAAGCAGATAAGAATCATATGAGCTAAGTCATAAGAACAGACCTGAGGGGGTTGAATCAGGAAATGGGGGAGGGATAATAGTTGGAAAGTCCAGATTTGTTATGGAGGGGTACACAGAAATGTGATCGTCAAGCCGTGATTGGCAACAGGTGGAAATTTGGATGGTTAATCTGATATTTATGTGTAGAATGAATTGAAATCTGGAAGATTGGTTTTTGGTTTGTGTTTTGGAAACTTGTTGGTACCGAGCATAAAAATAAGGGTTTGGATTGATGAATCCAGGGGGAATGAAAAGGAAAAATGAACAGGATTCAGGTGACTTAATGGGGATAGGAAAGAAAGAGTCAACGTTAATTTTCAAAAACTTAAACCTTGGTAACTAGGAAGAATGAATCTCGGCAGAAGTGAAAAAGTCGGGAATGGGACTGAGTAAGAAATGGGTTGAATAAGAAGTTTAATTTTAGATAGGTTGAGTTTCCAGTGGAGTGGAATGTCTCATGAAGAATATTGAATGAGATCAGCACAAATATGTCTGTGACTTCAAACACTGTTTAAAAAGAGGGGAGGGAACTGGGTTCTGCATTAAACTCAGATTAAGAGAGACCACTACTCAATAACTATGTTGACAGAAGCTGAGTGTTCTTCTACTTTACTGTGTGTGTATCATATTGTACTTTTTCTTTTTTCCCTTGATTTGATTATCGTACTATATATTTTAAGTGAAGTTTTCTGTACTTCAGGGACAACTACTTTGATCACTGTTCCTTTGTATGAGATTGTGCATTTGCTCCTTTTTTCTTCATGAGTCTTGCCCCTTACTGTGTCCCTCCAACTTTCCCCCCCTTTTAAAATCTCTTTCAAACAAGTCTGGTTGGAAAAAACAGGTTCTAAGGGAAAGATGCTTTCACTCTGAAAACCTGTGGAGATGATAACATGGTGTAAGGAATACCGAACTACTCCCTGAAACCTGACAAATACTATGACCGCAGTCAAGACATTTGGCTTTGGGTCATACATTCTTCCTCTGATGTCCTAATCTTTTGAAATCCTGGAACCTACTAGTCTTTATTCGCTGATGAGATGGGTGACTGTCTTTAAAGTTGTAGTCATGTTCTCACTGTTTGGCTGCTGTGTTTTAGAGAAAAATGCTTGGAAAGGGTGGGGGCTTCCTCCATTAAAGAGCTGAAGGGTTGGCTACCTTCAATTTCTTTGTCTTAGCTTCTTCTCGCTACCTCCCACAGAGATCCATATGGCTTTGGAGATGGTCGAGATACAAGACGTGATCGATCCCCAATTCGAGGAAGTCCAAGGAGAGAGCCCAGGGATGGCAGAAATGGCCGGGATGCCCGGGATAGCAGAGCCATTCGAGACCCCCGAGACTTGCGGGACCACAGAGATAGCAGAGACATTCGGGATCACAGAGACAGCAGAAGTATGCGTGATGCTCGGGACATGAGGGACCTTAGAGACTTTCGTGATCTAAGAGACTCTAGGGATTTTCGGGATCACCGGGACCCCATGTATGACAGATACAGAGATATGAGAGACTCCCGAGAGCCCATGTACAGGTACATATTCAGCCATCCGCGTAGATCTTTGTTGGGGTTTTTTTGTAACAGTCTTTTTTTGTGGGTGTTCTGCTGAACTAATTGGAAACTCTGTAAGGACAGTGACTTTATCAGCCTTAGGTTTCCAGTGTCTAGCGAGTGGCAGATGTGCTCCTCAATAAATATTTGCTGAATGTGTGAATGTTCAATGAATTATGCTTAGTGAATGAATCTGGATCTCTCCCTGTAGCCTATGAAAGGTAGTATTGTGCAAATGGACAAAAAAGATGGAGTGCAAATTGTTTTGGCAATGCAAAAACACAGGGAAGACACACACGTAGCCAGTAAGTCTGTGAAAAGACTCTCCGCATCATTAGTCAACAGGGAAATGCAAATTAAAGCCACAATGAGATACCACCTCATACCTACTAGGACGGCTATGATGATTTAGTAAGGAAAACAACAAAAGAAAAGAACAAGCACTGGCGAGGGGTAGAGACTAGAAGCCTCAAACATTGTTGGTCGGAATGTAAAATAGTATGGCCGCTGTAGAGAGCAGTTGGCAGGCGGTTCCTTAAAAAATTAAATGCAGTAGAATTGCTCTGACCCATCAATTTCACTCTGGGGTGTGTACCCAGAAGACTTGAAAAGAGGGACTCAAACACATACTTGCATGTAAATGTGCAGAGCAGCACTCTCCACAGTGGCTGGGAGATGGACAAAACCCGAAAGTCTGTCAAAAGGTGAATGAATTAAAAAATGTGATATATCCATACAGTGGAATATTATTCAGCCATAAAATGGAAGGTAATTCTGACACCTGCTGCAACAGGGATGGACCTTGAAAACATGCTAAATGAAGTAATCCAGACAGACACAAAAGAACAAATAATGTGTGATTCCACTTACATGAAATATCTAGAGAAGACAAATTCACAGAGACAGAAAATAGATTAGAGGTTATAGGGATGGGAATTGAAGAGTTACTGCTTAATGAGTGTTCTGCTCAGGGTGATGAGAAATTTATGTATAGATTTATATGAAATATTTGTATTTTTGTATGTATTTTAAATAACAATTTTTTAAGAAGCACAGGCAGGGGGGATGGGAGTCCTCAAAATTAATATCAGTCATTACTATTAGTTATTTTGCATTTACTTTAAGCCAGAAACTATTGTGAGAGCTTTCTGTACATCCTCCCAGTCATTTTGCAAGGCAGGTTAAGAGTCACAGCCACCGAACTGATAAGCAGTGAATCTCGTTTGTCTAATCCCAGAGTCCACTGCCTTACTGTGCTGTTTCCTCACAGGGGACTGGGTCTTGAAGAATTCTCTGTATCTGAGTTTTGCAGGATAGGTGAGTTTTAACTTTGTGCAAATTTCTCCCACTTTTCAGGAGAGAAAGCTCTTATGACCGATACCTGCGAATGGATGACTATTGCAGGAGGAAGGACGACCCTTACTTTGACCGTTACAGAGATAGCTTTGATGGACGAGGCCCTCCAGGCCCAGAAAGTCAGTCTCGTGCAAAAGGTAAAATAGCAGTTTATTTGTTACTGATAGAACACTTTACAAATAACCAACTGGAAAGGGACTAACGACTTGGCTAAGCAATCCACAAAAAGAAGAAATACAGATAGCCTATTAGTATGTAGGGAACATTTAGCTTGAAAATAATTTGTAAAATGCAAGATTACTATCATCTTCTTTAGTCATGTAACAAGAAGTAAATACAAAATTGTAGCAATAAGAAATGAACAAAAGATTACAGCTGGAGAGGGTTAATAAGTGCTTGCTTTTTGCCTGTTAACCAAATAACTACAACTGTCTGCACTCTCTGTGCGGCATGTGATGTGGGGTTTTTTTGTTTTATATGTAATTTTTACCTAATAGCGTCTCTTTTTTAGATAAAGACAAAATGTTTTTTCAAAGCCTGATTATTCTCAATACATCCTTAAAGATCTCGTAATTGTTTTGTAGTTGAAATAAGAGCCTCATTTTTAATTTGTAATAAAACTTTACCACGTGATTTTTTTTTTTTTCCGGAACAAATTAACAAATACCTGTCAATGAGAGTCTTAAATAGTTGTCCCCAAAATGCAAATTAGAATAGTAATGGAATACTATCTTTTACCTGTCAAGTTGGCAGGAATGTTTAAAAATGACAACACCCAGTGTTGACCAAGATGCAGAGAATTAGCACTAGGTAATCTACCCCTGTGAAGGGATAAGTTAACAGCCTTTAGAGGGCAGTTTGGCAGTATGCAGCAGATGATGCATTTAAGTGACCATGCCCTCTAATCCAGCCATTCCATTTCAATGAATTTATAGTAACAAAAAATAATAATACTGGCTATTTTTAGGAGGTAGTCCAGAAGAGTAACTCAGACATGGGGCGCCTGGGTGGCGCAGTCGGTTAAGCGTCCAACTTCAGCCAGGTCACGATCTCGCGGTCCGGGAGTTGGAGCCCCGCGTCGGGCTCTGGGCTGATGGCTCGGAGCCTGGAGCCTGTTTCCGATTCTGTGTCTCCCTCTCTCTCTGCCCCTCCCCCGTTCATGCTCTGTCTCTCTCTGTCCCAAAAATAAATAAACGTTGGAAAAAAAAAATTTTTTTAAAAAGAAGAGTAACTCAGACAGAGTATATGTATATTACGACCTTGGCCTACATACTTGTAGGATTTAAAGTAAGGTCTGTGGCTTATTTTTATAGAAAGGCACAGTCCATATTTCAGTTTTCCTTGTCGGTGTCTTACAGAACGTTTGAAACGTGAGGAACGGCGTAGAGAAGAGCTTTATCGTCAGTATTTTGAGGAAATCCAGAGACGCTTTGATGCTGAGAGGCCTGTTGATTGTTCTGTGATTGTGGTCAACAAGCAGACTAAGTAAGAATCCTTCGGTTATTTCTCCTGAGTAAGGAGAATGGTCAGAAGAGAAATGAAGACTTCCTTTGGCAGCCGTACCCACTGAACTTGGGCTGTGGGTTCTAGCATTGCTCTCCTACATTGAGCCAGAGTTCTGTCAGTTGTGGCTTGACAGAAAACCCATTGCAAACTGGCTCACGCCCCAAAGGGAAATTTTTAGTTTGCCTGACTGGGAATATCAGGTATGGCCACATCCAGTGACAAACCACATCATCAAGACTTGGTCCCTGTATTACCCTCGTTCTCACGCAAGCTTTCTACTGGAAAAGGCAGAATGGCACTAACCCTATACATCTGTCTCAGCAAAAGCCTCTGTTTCCCAGTGCTTCCATTTAGAGGCCTGGAATTGTTTCTCATTGGACTGACCTGGCTCACTGTCCCATCCTTGAACCAGCGGTGCTAAGATTCCCGATTAGCCAGGGCTGGGTCATGTGCCCCATTCCTAGAGCTACAGGTGGAATTGGGCCTGTGGAATCATGTGGACTGAGTAGGAGAAGGGTGCTTTCCCAAAGGAAAACTGAAGAGGGAATATATGTTGGTCATGCGAAGCAATAGATGCCCCCTTCGTGGAGCCACCCCGAATCCCCACCACTTCGGGAGGCACGTGTCTCTGCATTGGCCTCCCAGGCCTTCTTTATGAAGTGCTGTGATCTTGCAGAACTGTCAGGAAACCGTTCTAGCCAATCCAGAGTTCACAGTACCTCTTTGCTTGCCTCTTTTTCACATTGTTTCCTGAAGAGACCGAGCAGAGAGGCACAAGGGAGCGTAGCAGCTTGCAGGCTTGGCACTGGCTATGTTCCCTTTCCCCAGGTGGTTAGTAAATAACTTCATGTGTTTTCAAGCAGTTTGAGGTTAAAGAGCTAATTTCAAGGCAGAGACTAGGGAAATAGGTGTCGAGACACCAAGCAGCAGGCAGAGTTCCCAGGCTCTGGGCTGCCTTGTTTAGAGATAGATGCCACTTTTAACTGTGGATAGCTTTTTTTTTTTTTCTTGACACAGGATAATAGCTGTTATTTTCTAAGCACCTACTCTGCTATCCCTTGCTAGGCGATTTACTTAAATTATTTTTAATCTTCGCAGTCATCACGTTACATGTGTGTTCATTCAGCTCATCTCTTACATGTATGGCGAAGCTAGGTACTGGGATGCAAGTATATAGGGCCCCTTCCTGTGGTGGAGCTTACACCCTAGTTGGGCAGATGACAACAAAAATGGGGGTATTGGTGATGAGCCCTATGAGAAGAAATCTATCAAGGATCTAATTTAGATTGGAGAGAAGGTCAAGGGAATGACATGAGTGGAGCCATATTCCTGTTTTGTTGGTAAAGAAACAAGTTTGTAAGAGGTTGAAGGATTTGCTTAAATCCTCACAATTTTGTAAGTAAATGATAAGGTTGGGATCCAGACTCCTCCTAGCGTTAAAGCCCATGCTTTTTCCACTCTGTTGTGCAGCACCCCAGAGACAGGTACATGCCTCAAGTCTTGGGCAGCAGGATGGTGTTTGAGGAAAGACCACTGCTCTGCAGGATCAAGAAAAAGGCCTGGGTACTAAGGACTGTGCTGTTGGTAGCTTAATATGTGACCATTCTGAGCTAGGCATAACCATTCTGAACTCTGGTGTAAGGAATGGAATTGGTCTAGATTCGTGGAGCCTGAAGAGGGCACTAGGGAGACATGGGATGTGCTAAGATATGAACTCTCCATAGGAGCACACACTGCTGGCTGAGGTGCAACAGTATACAGATTGGGAGCTGGTCAGGGAGTGCTCACTTGGATCCTGTTTGTTCCTACAGAGATTATGCTGAATCTGTGGGGCGGAAGGTACGAGACCTAGGCATGGTAGTGGACTTGATCTTCCTCAACACAGAGGTGTCACTGTCACAAGCCTTGGAGGATGTTAGCAGGGGAGGGTCTCCTTTTGCTATTGTCATCACCCAGCAACACCAGATTCACCGCTCGTGCACAGTCAACATCATGTTCGGAACCCCACAAGGTACGGAGGCCCAAGTGGGTTAGAATTCCAGAGATAGTCACTAGTCCATTAATTCTTTGATGCCCTACTGAGAAGAAGCAGGTTTGGGGCAAATGACTCGTATGTCAGCTCAAAGATGGTGGGTCCCTTTTATAAGCACACTGGAGGAGACTTGCATAGTCACTTACTTGTCTGATATTCTTTCAGTGGATGCAGTTCTGGGTCTGCTATATGGAAAACATTATATTTAGCTCTCAGGTATACATAGCGGGATGCTGGTAAATGTGTAACCACTAGTTCTGGGAAGGGGGCAGGAGGCATTGTGGTTCACAGCATTTGCTGATGGTGTAAATGCTCCCCCTGTGTGTCTTGTTTCAAGCCACCAACATGCAGTCACTTCAGGGACGGTTGGGAAGAGACAGACCTGCACCATCAGCTCTCACCATTGAGAGCAGGTGCTGGCACACCTCTGGCAGATGTGCACCGCATGGAGCGTGCTAGAACCCTTGGCTTTCATTAGACTTTGTAATAAGGGACTGAGGACACGACAGGCGACGGGACAGTCTGCAAGTGTGCTAGAGAAGTAGAGGGGGCAGGAGAGCAGGGAGGAGGCCCAGGAAGTCCTTGAAGCCCTTCCCTGAAGATGCTTTTAGTACATCGCACTCAGGATCTTAGGACTCAGCCAACCGATGGCCCTGGCCATTGCTCTTCCAGCCCAGGCTGGACTTTGCCCTTTTTCCACCACATCGGAATCTCTTTGCCTGACTTGTTACCCATAACCATAAAATACATAGGGTTCTCACTAGGTCATTTGTGTCTCTGAGCAGTAGTTCTCAAGATGTGTGAGGGCATTTCTGTGACGTTCTGAGGCTTCTCACCACCCTGTAGGTCACGTTGCCCATGGGTAAGGAGAGGAGGTTATTTAGGGTCATATTTGATCTTAATGCATGACCTTTGAACTGATGAATTCAGAAACAGTAGGCCAGCTGTATCCTGAGTGTCACAGTAGAGAGCCAGACTTTACAGAAGAGCTTTTTGGCCCCCTGCAGCCTGCCTCCCATGGTTATTCCCCATGTGGTCTTTTTGAATCTGTGGGAGACTGTCATGTTTCTTTGGTTTTTACTACAAGTCTGTGATCTAGGAATTCCCCCGAAGAACCAGCTCTGTGAAAGGTGTGTGTGTTCCCCACCAAAGAAATCTATTCACCTGTCTTTCCAGCTTTCGTCTCCCCCACTCTGCTCCGCATCGTAAGGCTTTTTGTCACCAGAATGGTTTTCTTGCTGGTTTGAGGTTAGAAAAGGCTTGGTAGAGTCCAGAAGTTGGGCACTCACAACTGTCATGGGAGAAAATAACTCCTGTCATTCTCTCCTACAGAGCATCGCAACATGCCCCAGGCAGACGCCATGGTGCTGGTAGCCAGAAATTATGAGCGCTATAAGAATGAGTGCCGGGAGAAGGAGCGAGAGGAGATTGCCAGACAGGCAGCCAAGATGGCAGATGAAGCCATCCTGCAGGAAAGGGAGCGCGGAGGCCCCGAGGAAGGAGTGCGCGGGGGGCACCCTCCAGCCATCCAAAGCCTCATCAACCTACTGGCAGACAACAGGTACCTCACTGCCGAGGAGACTGACAAGATCATCAACTATCTGCGAGAGCGGAAGGAGCGCCTTATGAGGAGCAGCACCGACTCTCTGCCTGGTGAGCTACGTGGCAGGGCCGAGGTGAAGTTCTGACTCTGCATTTCTCTAACCCCCAGGCTCTGTGGGGAGGGTGGCAGGCCCAAGCTCTTTGGGGTGGGTAAGGGGAATGAGCCCGTCCCCTGGGTTCTCCCACGGGCCATCCTCGCTGATGTAGTGATAACTTAACATTTGGGTACTGAATTCCAGTCCCTGTAGTTAATGTGGCAATGGTTGGGCTAAGATTGCCAGCTACCTGGTCACCGAGATGGATGCCCTTTGTTCCTTTAAGTAGTCCTCTGGGGCACCTAGGCTGTTTTCTGGAGACAGCATATACCATGAAGTAGCTCCTTTGGGAAATTGATGTTATAGTCTGTGTACTATGTGATTGATGTGATCAGTGATTGTTGTTCTTCCCTGGCTGTTAAGCCTCCTGCCCACGGAGGGTACTTTCAACTAGATACCTCCTCCTTCTGTCTTTTAGGCCCGATTTCCCGCCAACCACTCGGGGCGACCTCGGGTGCCTCGCTGAAGACACAGCCAAGCTCCCAACCGCTCCAGAGCGGCCAAGTGCTCCCCTCTGCTACACCCACTCCAGCTGCACCCCCCACCTCCCAGCAAGAGCTTCAGGCCAAAATCCTCAGCCTCTTCAATAGTGGCACGGTTGTGGCCAATAGCAGCTCTGCATCCCCTTCAGTCGCTGCCGGAAACACCCAGAACCAGAATTTTTCCACGGCAGCAAACAGCCAGCCTCAGCAAAGATCACAGGCCTCTGGCAATCAGCCTCCAAACATTTTGGGACAGGCGGGATCTGCTCGGAACATGGGCCCCAGGCCTGGGGCTCCTTCCCAAGGGCTCTTTGGCCAGCCTTCCAGTCGCCTGGCACCTGCTAGCAACATGGCTAGCCAGAGGCCCGTGTCTTCCACAGGTATCAACTTTGACAATCCAAGTGTACAGAAGGCTCTGGACACCCTGATCCAGAGTGGCCCTGCTCTCTCCCACCTGGTTAGCCAAACTACAGCACAGGTGGGGCGGCCCCCGGCCCCATTGGGATCCTACCAGAGGCATTACTGAGGCTAAGTCTCTCAACTGTCCCCAGTCCCCTCATCCCCTGGCCTCCTCCCACCTACTGCGTTCAAATAGAGTTATTTGGAGGATGTTCTCTGCGCCTCTCCAGGTCTACATCGAATGTTTCTACCACCTGCTCTCTCTTCTGCCCAAGGCTTTGTTGCTTATTCCTTCCAGAGTCAGAGTTTATACTGCATTTGGGGGTGTATCTTTTTTTGTTGTTTTTGGTTTTTGTTTTGTAGAAAATAAATATCTCTGGGGTCACTTGGGCAGTATAGGTGTCCGGGCTCAGTTTATATTTCATGGGTTTCTCTGGTCTCTGTCAGCTGGATTTGGGGGCTGGGGAGAAGGAAGAAGCCACGCCCCGATCGACTGAGTTTGGAACAGCATTTTCATGTCCGTCACCACCGCCTTTGTTCATTTTGAACCTACCAAGGTTTTTTTCAGCTTCACACAGGCCGACCAGAGCTCAAGCTCCTGTCTGCAGCTGCTTCCTAGGGTTGCAGAAAGCCAGCCTGGGCTGGGCAAGCACCGTGTCCTCGTGCCCCATTCCGTGCGTATGGGGTCTGCCGGAGGATTCATAAAGCAGCTGCTCTGGAGTTTGTCTAGGAGAGTGCATGGCGGCCACGGAAGCAGGCACTTTTCTGCCTAATCCAGGGTTGTTAGTTTGGGGTTTTCTTTCTTTCTTTTTTTCTTTCTTCTTTTCTTTATTTTTTCTTTCTCTTTCCTTCTTTTTCTTTCTTTTCCTTCCTCCCCTTTTTTTTCTTTTTTCTTTCCCTTTCTTTCTTTCTTCCTTTCTTTTTTTCTCTTTCTTTTCATTTCATTGGAGGATCTCCAATGGATTGAACAGCTCCAGTCACCAGCAGTTCAACAAGAACTGTAATCTGGGCCCTGACCACTCTCACCCCCTTAACGTTTTTGTCAGCTTCTCCCTCTCCAGTGCTAGTTTCATGGAGGTTCTGAGAAAGCAACTCTAGACTCTGGCAGGGAACACCCTTTTTTTTTTTTCAGTGATTGTTTTGAGCTTTTGGCTCAGAAATCAGGTTCTTATTTTCATTTGGACTCTTCTGTTTCTGAGCAGCAGGAGGTAGGGACCATTTTGATGTCAGACTTTTGGTAGCTGGACATATCCTTGATACAGGTGGTTGTTCATAACTTTTGAGCCAGAGTGAAATTATTAGAGGGAGGACTTCTGGCTGCTGCTCTCTATGGAGCCAAAGGAAGCTGCCCTCTCCCTAGGGATGGTGCTCATCAGAGCCCTGTGGGTCACAGTCTCAAGGGTCCCCTGCAGGGATGACGGAGGGCAGGGACCTCAGCTGAGTCCTTGCCAGTGGCTGAGCAAACAATGCTTTCAAAAACTCAAGGTCCCCGATGGCAGTGTTTTATGTTCTGACCTGTTTGTGTTCTATAGTGTTTTTTTCCTCTTTGGAATTCTGTGTTGTTAATAAGATGAGATGATTACTTTTTATTAAAATGAAAAAGTAAAGGCTGTGTTGTCTTTTTGGGGTGTGAATAACTGCAGGGGCATTCCCTCCCCAGTCAGAAGGTGAGGGCCCCTGACGGAACATTGACTGGTTTCCGTCTGCCGTGACGCCTGCCCCCTCTTGTCCTCATCTGTGGTTGCGGTCAGCCCCGAAAACCTCCTCTGACCCTAGTCCTCTTCTGCCACACCTCCCCCGGTCAGAAGCTTTAACATCAGGTCAGAGCAAAAGCCTGCTGGCTAATTATGACGCTGTGTTAAACGTGCTTGTTTGTGGTGGACTCTCAGTGTGGCAGCAGGCTTGTCCGCTCACTCTGGGAAAGGGACGTTTCTGAGGAGGCCGTTTCTGGCCGCTGGCCAGTGGAGCAGGGTGCTCTCCCGCTTTGATTTGGCCTCAGCTGCCACCCTGTGTTCTACCCGCTATGTGGGGAGTTGGCAGAACCGTAGAGTCATAGAAAGTGGGAGCCTGGAAGAGCATTTAAGGGCCAGGAGCCTGGGGAAGGGGGCGAGGTCGGACCAGCACCGGCCTGACCTGGTTGTCCCAGGCAACCAGACCCTGAGGAGCAGCCCAGCCAGGGACCGTGGGTCGGGGTGTGATGAGGCAGAGCTCCTCCCGAAGAGCCACCTTGAGTTCCGCTCCTTCCCCCTCAAGGGTCCACACAGCACACCTCAGGCTGTGAAGGGTATAATAAAATTATTTTTATTGCATTTTGTGCAGACGGGAGTCTAAAAAATACAGTAAAAGCTGTAAAGCATTAAATGGGAGCGGAGGAGCATTCAACAAGAAAGGAAAGAACCAACGCGCTCCTTTCCATATTGGCACAAAGAACACAAGATCAGTACTGAGGCGGAATGCGGAATACTGAAACACTGAAAATTAAAGGCAGGCCTAATAATAGTAATAAATAATCTTGATTTGGTTTGCAACCTCTCCTATTTACAAGGGTTTTCAACTTCATTGCATTGCCCTGCACATAGATCGGCTAAAACAAAAGCAACACTAGTTCTCACTACGAGGCTATTGAAATATTGCACTCAGAATAAAAGTCACTTGAATGGACATGAAACATCTAGCTACGATGATTATAAAGATAATTTGATGAATGACCTGTGATAACATTCATAACAAATATTGCACATGTAGCACAGAAAACTTGGGTTTTGTTATGGGATGTTTGTCTTCTTTAACAGAAACTTTGCTCTTGCCAACCAGACATTCTGGGCCCAGATAGTGCAACTTTGGTTCCCTAATTGGTGGTGTTGATACAGCCCCTTCCCCTTCTGCCCAGGCTGCCGCTTAGCCTGGGGATGCTCAGGCCCCCAGAAGGCTAGACCCAGCTGTGGTTCTCGGAGGTCTTTTGAAAGATGCAGGGGGGTCAGGTGGGGGGGCCTGGTGTCTTAATATTTCCAACCTTCTGGAGAGTCCATCTTGCCCCCTTATCAGAGGGCCTTGGCCTAACAGGCAGATACTGAGACCTACCTCCAGCCACACCTGACCCAGTCTATAGACGGCAACAGCTCCAGCTCTCCGCCTTGGGCTCAAAGGGAAGGAGGTGGTGAGGTCAGGAGTACTCAGTAGCCCCAGCTCTGGGAGGTGGGCAGGATGTCTAGGTGCAAATGTCAGGGACCTGGAGCTGGAGGTACTGAACCCGGTCCCAGAGGGCGCTGGAACGAGCATGCAGTGTCTGTCCCCCTTAGTGACGTGCCCTGGGGGAAGGGAGCCCGCCCAATGCACCTTCTCTAGGGATAGACGGCGCCTCCGACCAGGCTGCATGGAGCAGAAGCGCCAAGGACTGGAGTTGGAGAAGCCAAAGAAAGGCTTTGGGTCCTGGTTGGAGGAGGGCAGAGAGGCGCTTAGAACAAAGCACATGGCGACTCCAGCCCTCCCCCAGGCCCGGGTGCCTGGGAGACGCGGCTAGAGGCCGCTGCTGGGCAGCAAGGCCCGGCCCCGGCACGCGGGAGAAGGCGGCTGGGTCCCCGAGGCAGGAGCTGCCAGCTGCCGGGTGGGGACAGGGGAGGGAACATCAGGAGCAGAGCTGGGGCCTCCCCGGTGGGTCTGGCCCCTAAACCCAAATCGCTTCCCCTCCTCCCTCGCCTGTCCCAGGGACGCAACTCCGGGGAGGGGACGCCCTCCAGCTCCCCGGTTTCAGTCTTTGGCGAGGAGCCGTGGGATAGGGGGAGCAGGCGACCAGCCGACGAGGAGAGACGCCCGCTCCCCCATGAAGGCACGGGGGCGGGGCTTCCTCGGTCTCTCCGCCCCCCATCCCCTCACCACCCCCGCCCCCAGCAGCCCCTCCCCGGTCCCGGCTCCTGCTCGCGGGGAGCCGAGAGGCGGCTGCGCGCGTCTCCGCAGCCGCTGGGAGGCGGATCCAGGAAAAGCCGGGCGCTGGTCCCACCCCATCTCCAAAACGAACTTGCGGGAAGGGTCGGAAGCCGGGGGCGCGCGGGAAGGGCGAGGAGGCGAGAGCGTAGCGGGGGTGTCGAGGGGCCAGGACCACGACTCCCGCCTGGGCCGAAAGCACTTTTGCTCCCAAACTCGCGGACGTCCAGGAAAACCCAGCCTCCCGAGGCCGCCGCCTCCCCCGCGTGCCCCCAGCGGGAGAGCTCGAAGACGGCGAGCAGAGAAGTCCGTTGCGCTTCTAGTCACAGAAATATGGGGACGTTAAAAATACACGCGATGTCTCCTGTACACTATGTATAGGCGCGGCCCCGCGCGGAGGGGCGGCGGGTCGGGCCGAGCGCGGCCTCCCCACCGCGCG